CAGATTAGAAGCCTAATCCGAACTAGCTACTCCGTGCCGCGTGTAGCCGCGCGGCACGGGGTTTGAACAAGCCGAGATTTAAAAATGGCGCCGGCCGGCTTTATGCAAATGAAGCCCGGGAAATTCAAATCCCGGGCTTCATTTGCAATTGCGGTATGCCTACATTACCCCCACTAGTTCGAACTAGGGGGGTAGTTTAGACATACCCTGATTGAGTCTTACCCTGAACCATCTATGGCAGCCCAATCCCTGCCCAGGCCCAGCTCAGAGGCCTTCTCACACTCCAAATCCTTAGCCTGTGCTCCAAACCTCTGCCCCTGCCTGATGAATGAGAGGAAGGGAGCATGGAGTGAGCAGAGCCAGGGCTTTGGCGCAGCCCAATCCCTGCCCAGGCCCAGCTCAGAGGCCTTCTCACACTCCAAATCCTTAGCCTGTGCTCCAAACCTCTGCCCCTGCCTGATGAATGAGAGGAAGGGAGCATGGAGTGAGCAGAGCCAGGGCTTTGGCGAAGGGGCACAAAGGAGGTGGGGCAAGCGTATTTGGGTTGGGGTAGATCCTGCATTGCACTTAAATTCAAAAACAGATCTCATACTTTAAAAGGGTAGAGACCCCTGATATAGATAATCCATCTGACAGATGTGCAGTAGCTAGGTTGTTGGCAGAATATGTCCATGAACCTGGCACCGTCTACACCACAGGTTGCGATGGCTATACCCCATCATTTGCCATGTGTGTTTTTCAAAGCACTCAGCAAGAGTGCAGAATTGACTTAGATTTTCATTACAGATGTGTTGGGAGGACTGATATTCTTGGAGACAATTGAACAGCAATGCAGAGAATGGTTTGGAAATGAAACAAATCGGAGCAATACAATACAGATGTGGCACACAGTCCTGTGTGCTGTTTCCAAACCCACAGAATGTCAGCAGAGAAGGGAGTATTTTAGCCCTAAATCTTTCCTCTTTCTATTCTAAAAGACTTGAGCACATTTCAAGAGTTTCAAGGGAAAAACAAGAGACTTACCCATTCTCCTTTGCAGGTTTTCTGTGAAAAAACAAAGACATGGTTTATATTATTAATGGACATGTTTGTTATGGAAGTGCTGAGAAGCTACATGATCTGTAAATTGTGTTTCCAGGTCTGCAGGCAGACATGTCTTGCATCAGTAGAAATTCAATAGTAGAAAAGCTGCTTCAAATCTGTGTGAGGGCAGCATAATCTAACACAAGGGCGGGCGATAATTTCTGATGGGGAGCAAAACAAGAATTTGGGAAGTGGTCAAGGCCTGCAGCATTCTCTGATATTAATGGAGGAGGAACAGGGTCTGGAATGGAGGCTCGGGGCAGAAGGGAGCTTGGACTAAGGGATCATTGCAAAAAATCTAGGAGGAGGGGTTTATAAGCTGGAGCAGGTCAGTGGGGTGCAGAAGGAGGCGTAGGGCTGGGAGCAGATGTGTTTACAGAAGACGATTCTGTGCTGGAGGAGGAGGTGAAAAGTCTGGGAAAGGACTGCGAAATGGGCCTGGAATGGGGGTTTTGGGTTGTAAGTGGAAGTAGAGGAGCGCGTTGTGAGAACAGGAGGAGGTTGTGACCTGGAGGACAGGTACAGGTTATGGAATGGGGTGTGGGTACTGGAGTGTGGGGTGTAGAGGGTTTGGGTTACCTGGGGTTTGGGTGCAGGAGAGGGGCAGAGGGCTGGGTGAGAATGACAGAAGCAGGCTCCAGTTGGGAGACACTTGAGAGGCTCCGGGCCCCCACAGCTCGTGGCCAGCAGCCCTGCCTAGCAGGTTCCTCAGCCAGGCAAAGGCCATGTCCTCTCTGACTACTATGAACTCAGAGGGAGGAAGGAGGGTTCATTTACTGTCCTGCAAAGAGGCAGCTCCCATTGGCCAGAAACTAACCAATGAAACTGAAAGATTGTGCAGGGAATGGATACAGCGTATGAAGCCTCAGAATTCAAATAGCTGCTCCAAGCAGCAAGTGGGCGGAGGTAGGCAGGGACTCAGGCTGAGAGCCCCGCTGAGTCTGCAGGCTGCATCAGGTGCTTTGGCAGGCCAGATCTGTCTGGGGCGGAGGAGGGGCCTGTGTTTTGCCCATCCCTGGTCAAAAACCAGATGGTAAATGGGATCCTTTCTTCAGGCAGTACCATAGACATGGGCCATAACAGATGATGGGCCCAGAGCCTTTACCAACTGTTTTAGCTGTCATGGAGACTTGTTGCATATTCCCATCGGGAGTGGAAATAAGCAACATTTGGGAAAAATTGCCCATTGGAAGCTCTGACTACCTGCAAAGCATGTTGAGACTGCCCTTTCTCCATATTAAATGTAATTAGGTCTGGCTTCCATCATCAATGCCATCTCCACTAATTCATTGATCTTTACCAGGCACAACAGCATCCAAAGTATGGTTACATTGTGCTGAGCAGAATGCCTTTTGAGGTAGGAAATCATCAATTTCATATTTTAAAAACAGAAAATGTTGTTAAATGTGGTGCCCTTACGGTTTGCACTCGACTTCAAGCCGAAGAATGAAACGGGCAAAAAATCACAACCGATTTACTCAGGAAACAATGGAAAAGTAAGCTTTCAAATAAATGTTTTAAAATAATCTTCTTTCAAATGCACTCGGGTAGACAAGGTAAATCTTACCTGGCTCAGCACGACCTATTGTCCTTTCTGTATCTGGGGAATGAAACATTTTTCAGTAACTAAATGGGTGTATTTCTCAGGTCTGCCCACCAAAAACGTCCTCCCATCACCCAACCTAACAATCACGAATGCTCGTGACACACAAATTTTTAATTCCTTTAGAGCTGATCTTCTAAGGAAAACACACAGTCGTGATTTTTAAATTATCAGTGATAGACAATCTGCCGAGAAACTTAGTAAATTGTTCCAATGGCCCATAAATCTCAGTGATATAAATAGACATCTTATTTCCAATCTGAGGTTCTTTAGCTTCACTTCCAGCCTTTAGAACTTGTTACACCTTTCTCTTCCAGATTAAGGAGGCTATTATCAAATATTTGTTCCCCATGTACATACTCACAGAGGTCAGCTAGTACATGGGTTGTCACTCACCTAATTTAGTCCTCACTTTACCTGTAAAAAAGAAAAGACTACATCAGTAACGACTCCTTTTAAAAACATCTTCAGTGTTTTCCCTGATACCATGGATGTACAGATACGCACTAATTGAATGTACAGTACTCAGTAAATGTACAGACACTCAATGTACAAAACCTGTGTTGACTTTAAGTTAAAAAAGAGCAAGACAACTTGATAACTAGATAGCTGGAATAATTTGTGGTAATGATGGTTAATGTTTGGGTGATTGATCATCACAAACAGATATTGGCATAGAATTTGCTTTGCCTCTCCAATGGCAACTAATGAAGTGTTCGGGGCCTGACCCGAGTTGTGTCAGTGGCTCTGTCCTTCCCCACAGATTTAGATGTACAACAGGGAGAATGTCACTATGGGTGTGCAGTGTGGGGAGAAGCAGTGGGTCTGCCTGGAGTTGTTGCATTCCCTGCTAAGGCTGAGAATCAATTTCTCTCTCAGAGGCAGCACAGGAGACTGCAGAGAGAAAGCAGAATGCCCTCTCCCCCCCCCGCTTCCGCTCAGCAAATAGCCCAGTACTACAAGTGGAGGGCCATAGCAAGGGTGCCCAGAGATCATCATTGACCTAAGTTGTTATTCACCACAGCTGTAAACAAAGCTAATGCTGACAGCATATTAAACCTTTCTTCGGTATATTCACTAGCACATATTGCAGTGAGATTCATTGAAATGTGGCTTTAAGGGATTTGAAACCCTTGTCAGTGCTGACAGAACCTCATGAGACCTTTTTCATATGGGTGGGGGAAGAGAGGAATCTTGGGAGCTCTGCAGGGGAAGTGAAAGGGGTCAAAACTGTTTTCTCTGTCTCTTTGTGGCAGTGTGTGTGTGTGGGGAGGGGGGTATCTGCATTGCCTCAGCTCTTGCAGCTCAGGAACAGCTCTAGCAATTCTGTCCTCCTATACTCGGCCCTGAGAATACTTTGCCCAGCAGCATTTCTATTCAGTGCATGGAGCGGACAGCTGTGCCCATTGTCAGACTGCCCTTCATTCTCTCCCCTCTCGGATACTGTGCAAGGAGCAGGGGAGGGATGAGCTCCTTGAACAGGGTCTCCAGAGACTCCTGGTTTAGATCCTCTTCTTTGCACTCTTCCAAGACTGTGTAAATGTTGCCAGGGAACTAGACATGCTCACCCATTTCCTCTTCAACTTGCTCTGCAAAAATACAATGGAGAAACAGAAGGAAAAATTCAGTCTCTT